TTCTTAATGCAAGAATTACAATCACAATTCACCACACAACAGAGCACCCAAAATTATGCAAAAAACACTATTTTCCCCCAAATCCCAATATCTCCAAAGACTTGAATTGTTGGGGACGTTAACACACCACTTTCCCCACTAGATAGATAAACTCAGAAAAACTCAACAGAGAAAATGGAGATCTAAAAAACTGCATAGATCAACTAGATTTAACAGACATCTATGGAATATTCCACCCAGCAGCATCAGAATATACGTTTTTCTCAGCAGCACAAGGAATATTTTCCAAAATAGACCACACTTTAGGCCACAAAGCAAACTTGTCCAAATTCAGAAACATTGAAGTTATACCTTGCATTCTCTCACACCACAAGGGAATAAAATTAGAACTCAACACCAAAAGCCACCAAAGAAAATCCTGTAACACATGGAGGCTGAACAACACACTGCTGATTCACGAGTGGGTCATGGAAGAGATGAGAAAGGAAATTCAAATGTTCATGATATTCAACAACAATGAACATGCAAATTACCAGCTTCTCTGGGTCACAGCAAAGGCAATACTCAGGGGCAAGTTTATAGCTCTGAGTTCCTACATCAACAAATTGGAGAGATCTGAAACCAACAATTTCATGAGACATCTGAGCTTTCTTGAAAAAGAGGAGCAAGATAAACCCCAATCCAGTAGATGGAAAGAAATAATTAAAATTAAATCAGAATTAAATGAATTAGAATCCAAAAAATATAGAAAGAATCAACAAACCAAAGAGTTGATTCTTCAAAAAAAATTAATAAAATTGACAGACCCTTAGCAAATCTTATCAGAAAAAGAAGAGAACGCACCCAAATAGATAAACGCAGTGATAAGAATGGAAACATCACCACAGAAACAACCAAGATACAGAACATTATAAGGGAATAATTCTCAAAATTTTATGCTAATAAGTTTGAAAACTTGGCAGAAATGGGACTTTTCCTAGCAAATACTGACATGCCAAAAATGAACCAAGATAAGTTAAACCATTTTAACAGGCCCATATCAAGGATTGACATAGAAACAGCAATAAGAGACTTCCCATCTAAGAAAAGCCCAGGACCAGATGGTTTTTTAGTGGAATTCTACAAGGCCTTCAAAACAGAGCCGACACCAATATTTCTCCAACTCTTAAATAAAATTGAAAGAGAAAGTTCATTACTGAACTCATTCTATGAAGCTATGATAACCCTCATCCAAAAACCAGGCAGGGATTCATTAAAGAGAGAGGACTGTAGACCCATTACTTTGATGAACATTGATGCGAAACTTCTCAACAAAATTTTGGCCGGGTCGTCTTAAACAATGCATCCAGAAAATCATACACCACGATCAAACAGGATTCATTTCAGGGATGCAAAGCTGGGTCAATATTCGCAAATCAATTAATATAATTCATCACATAAGCAAGAGCAAGGATAAGAACCACATTATTATCTCAATATATGCAAAAAAAGCATTTGACAAGATCCAGCACCCCTTTATGATGAAGGTTCTGGAAAAATTAGGAATCCATGGAACATTCCTCAATACAATAATGGCTATATATGACAAACCTACAGCCAGCATTATACTTAATGGTGAAAAACTAAAGTCATTTCCTCTTAACTCAGGAACAAGACAAGGATGTCCACTATCACCACTTCTCTTCAATCTAGTATTAGAATTCTTATCTACAGCAATAAGACAAGATGCAAACATAAAGGTGATCCAAATAGGGAAAAAAGAAATAAAACTCTTCCTCTTTGCAGATGACATGATCTTGTATTTAACGAATCCCATAGACTCCACTCCCAATTTACTCAAGTTGATTTAAAACTTTGGCAAAGTAGCAGGGTATAAAATTAACCCCCAAAAATCAATGGTTTTTCTGTATGCCAACAATGAGTAAAGTGTTGCTGAAATTAGGAAAGCAACTCCATTTGTAATAGCCCCACAAAAAAATAAAATACCTAGGAATTAACTTAACCAAAGAAGTGAAGGACCTCAATGATGAAAACTTTAAAAACGAAAAAGGAAATCAAAACAGAACTTAGAAGTGGCAAAAACTCCCATGCTCCTGGATTGGAAAGATCAACATCGCGAAAATGGCAATACTTCCCAAGGCTATCTACAAATTCAATGCAACACCTATCGAAATTCCCATCTCATTCTTCAAAGAAATAGAAGAGGCAATCCAAAAAGTCATATGGAACAATAAAAGAACCCGAATAGCTAAAACTATCCTCAACAGAAAGAACAGTTCTGGAGGAATATCAATACCAAATTTCAAGCTCGACTATAAAGCCATAGTAATCAAAACAGCTTGCTACTGGCACAAGAACAGACCTCAGAAGCAATGAAATAGAATTGAAAACCCAGAAATGAACCTACAGACCTATAGCCATTTAATCTTCAATAAAGGGGCTAAAAAAATAGAATGGAAGAAAGACAGCCTCTTCAGTAAATGGTGCTGGCTTGGTTAACTACTTGTAGAAAACTAAAGCTAGATGCTTATATATCACGCTGCATGAGAATCAAGTCCAAATGGATCAAAGACATCAGAGTCAAAGCAGACACTGAAAACATTACAGGATGGAATAGGAGAAACCCTTTGTCTCCTTGGCACAGGCTGAAATTTTCTTAATAGAGACCCAGAAAGACAACAAATTAGAGAAAGGTTGGACAAAATGGGATTGCATGAAATTGTAGAGCTTCTGCATGGCAAAGGACATAGCTTGCAAGATCAATAGAAAGCCCACGGATTGGGGGAAGATCTTCACTAGCCATACAACAACGGACAAGGGTCTCATATTTAAAACATACCTGGAACTCAAAAAATTAAATCCCCCAACAACAAATCTTCAAAGAAACAATTGCCCAATAAATAAGTGGGCTAAATACTTAAAGAGAAACTTCTCTGAAGAGGAATGAAAAAGGGCCAATACATACTTTAAGAAATGCTCAACCTCCTTAGCCATAAAAGAAATGCAAATCAAAACAACATTGAGATACCACCTCCTCCCAGGTAGAATGGCTATAATCAAGAACTCTAATAACAACAGATGCTGGAGGAGATGTGGACAGAAGTAAACCCTACTGCACTGTTGGTGGGAGTGTAAACTTGTTCAACCTCTTTGCAAAGGAGTATAGAAGTTCCTCAAAAGACTCCACATAGAGCTCACCTATGACCCAGCAATCCAACTTTTGGGCATTTACACAAATGTTCACAAACAAGACCATACTAAAGGTACTAGCACGATACGTTTATTGCAGCATTATTTACCATAGCTAAGATATGGAATCAACCCTGATGCCCCTCAGTAGATGAATGGATCAAGAAAATGAGACACACACACACACACACACACACACACACACACACACACAATGGAATTCTATGCGTCCATCATAAAGAATGACATTGCCCCATTTGTTAGTACATGGAAAGACTTGGAAAAAATTATATTAAGTGAAGTAAGCCAGGCCCAAAGAAATATAGGTCCCATGGTTTTCCTTATTTCCAATAAATAGTATATGCCTGAATCAAGCAGAAAAGCTCAGATAAATTTATGTTAGGGAAATGAACCCTAAATATGTACTCAAATGCTGTTTTCTTTCATGCGATTGTTTCTAACACATTTATAAGATGATATCTTTGTTGCTTTGTATGTCCCTCCCCCATTGTATAACCCCTGCTTTCACTGTATTTGATGTTAGTATAATTTGTGGAGGGTAAGAGAAAAAACGAATCGTTTAAATAGGGATACAGGTGGAAATATTGCAACAATGAGATGTACAAGTCGTTATGTCGAAAACGAACTTTACAACTTTGGTTGTAAAGTTTGTGGGGGGTGATTGGAGGCTTGAATGGGGGGATAGGGGAAGGATGGGATGGGAAGGGGAAACAAAGGAGGATGTTACAATGCTTGATAAGAAATGTACTCATTATCTTGCCCATGTAATTGTAACTCCTTTGTACAGTATTTTCACAATAAAAACAAATAATAATCTAGAAAAAAAATAATTACAATCACCATTACTCTGCCAAGAAGCTAGGCTTAACACCTTTATAACTTTTAAAAACATCCTAATTGTAGAACATCATTGAAAGCAAGTTACATTATACAAATAAACTTTTTAACCCTCTTTTGAAGGCCATTTTAATTTTAACACATACAAGGGGCAGTTTTAGCAATACTAATCAGATCATCACATCACTCATTTTAACCATGTTTTCAGGGTCTATCTGCAGGGAAAAGGGACAGAACAAAGATGGGCAACTCAGCCCCTCCTATGAAATGTGCCTGCACCCAATCTGACTCTTTAAGGTTAGATGAACTGCGTTTGTGCCAGCTTGCCCTCTTTTACCATGTGTGGACTCCTCCCAGGGCCAGTCCCACCATCTATGAAGCACCCCCCCCAGGTCGGTCCCACCACGCATGACCAGCTTAACTACACTTCTGCCTATTCAGCCTCACCCCTAAATATAGATCTTAGGTAGTCTTCTAAATTTTCCCTTTTTTGGGGGGTAGGGAGGTTTGAATAAAATACAGTTTTAGACAGACAGAACATGTCATGTTTTGTAACAGTGCTAAATTGACCTTTCCATTTAAATTTTTAATATTTATCCTGAAATTTTAGCCAAGGGAACTAAATCCCAAACTGCCAAAGCATTTAAAAATATTAAAATTTAAAATAACAGATTTTCTAATTTTTACGTTAAAGAATCCTTAAAAAGCCATTTAAAACAATGTGAAAGTTTTTTAAATTTTTAGTAATGTCTAAACCTCTTAACCTTTTACATTTTAAACTTAAATTCACCCAATTTTTACAGCATGTTGACAATTTTTATCTTGAACATGTTTACAAACACATAGAAAACACACAGATCTTAAAGCGTGCATAAATCAAAATCAGTTTTACATAGATTTTTTCAAAGTTTTTTTAACAAAAATTTAAGACAGTATTTTTTTAAACTAAGTACCTTTGTTAAGCTTCATTTTCCCAGGGCTCGCTTGTTTAGCAAGGCAATTCATCAACGGATCTTTTGAATCCCACCTGTTGGAAAAGGGCGGGTTGAAGGGGTCACCTAAAACTAAACTGGCCTGAATTTTATCCAATTTTAGACAAGAGCACTTTACAAATTGTTACATTGTCAGGACTCGCTGAAAAATCCAAACCAGGTACATAGTCTTCCACACTCTCTGCTCAGGCAGCCTCCACAAGGAGAAAATTCAGCCCAAGACCTGAAAGGAACCAGACTAGTCCAGCAACCTTACATATCTCACAGTGACGCGAGCCTAGCAGGTCTGTGGCTGAGCCCAGCCAGAGGCTAGAACTTTTATTTCCTCAGAGATGTTCAAATAAATAACAAAAAATATAAATAAACACAAAAACCAAGAATCCACACTTAAAACAGGTACCAATTCTAAAACAGAACTAGACAATAGCCAAAAGCTGAGTTGGGGACTAATGGGCCCTCAGTTCATTCCTACTAGAACTGCGCCATTCTCAATCAGCAAGCTGAATTCAGAATCTGTTGCGTGAGCTGGCCACCCTCACCCAGAATTTCCCCACCTCAAAAATAGAACAGAAACGACACCAAAGTAAACAAGACAGACAAGTGGCCACAAAGACAAAATCAGATCTCCATGAATTGGGCAACATCTTACCACCAGAGGATTTCTTTTTTTCTTTTTTTTTTTTTTAGATTCCTGCAAATGTTGATCCAGAGGCCTTCCAAGGTGGAGGAGAATTCTCAGTCATCTTGGGGCAAGGGAAAAAAGACCCTGGAAGCCATCCCCTCAGACTGACAGTCTCCCCCCCATACTCAGACCCTCTGGGCCAAGGCCCGAGGCTAAGATCTTGCTGGTGGCACTTGGTGGTCAGTGGCAGATTCATCTGGCTTAGAGTTTTCCCTGCAGGCCCCTTTCAAAGTTATTGCTAGATCCTGCAGGTTCTCCCTTCCCCCACTGCCTCCTCTTCTAGAGAATAAGTCAACCTTTGATGTCATCCTAAAATTCCAAAAGTATTAAAACGGGAGAGCGGCTGAGGTGAAAGGAGCATCTGGCCACCCCATTCGGGGGGCTCCAGGATGCCCGCTGATCCGAAAATGAAAGTTAAATGAACAAGGAAAGGAATTAAAATGGCAACTACAAATGAGACAAAGAGAGCATGCATGTTGATCTCGAGCTCGAATCCACCTCTAAGCCACGGTTGTGGAGGCCAGATGAGTTCCTGTCCCATAGGATGGCGGAGGCCAATGAGTCCCTACCCGGGAGGTGGATAATCTACCCTTAACCCAGAGTAGCAGAGGCCGGACAAGTCATGGTCCAAAAGACGACAGAGTGAAGCGAGACTCCACTGGGGAAGGCTTCCCCAAGGGCCCAGGGAATTTCTTCAACTCGCCTGCTGGCTACCTTGTAGCACATCTACCAACGTTTCTTGCCAGCTCTAAAACCCTACTTGCAAATCAAACACATAACACGCAACATAAAGCAGCTGCACCCCCTCTTACCGGCTAGCTGGACGACTCGCTGATCAGGTATCTGTGTGGCTTATGGGGGGGCTATCCCGGACAAGCTCCCACATAAAGTGCTCAGATTTCGGACGCCCCCTCTCAGACCACCAGAGACCATGATCAATGCAAACAGCAAAGAGTCATTTATTGCAAGCTGGAGCTTGGTCCTATGTGTACTTGGTAACTGGTGATGCTAAGAGGCCCCAAGCATAAAATTGACACAGCTTTTATAGTATCAAACAAACAAGTTTAGGGGGTTTCCACACAAGCAAGTTCACAAGTTCAGGGGGTTTATGTCCACCCTGATCACACTTCCCTTTTTCAGCTGGAACACCTGGGCAACTGTTCTGTTCTTTAAAGGTGGGCAGGGTTGGTGGCAACCTGCGGTTTTTCTGAGAACTATTTTTCTCTTTGGCAGCACAGCTCTCTTTGGGGGTTACTTTGAGCGCAGCACAGCTCAGGGGGCTTGAACTTAAAATGGAATTACTTTAGCTCTTCAGTTAGGTCCTGAGTTCAAACACCAGGAATGGTGTATGCACACACACACACACACACACACACACACACACACACACACACACACACCCCACATGGAGGCACCTTTGCCAATAATATATCATTCCATTATGTTCAGCTCCCTAATTGTCTGCCAGAAGGACTCTTGAATTAATTGTAGCAGTTTGTTTCAACACGGAAATATAGTCTTACAAAGACAGGATGAGTGCAGGGAACTTGGCCTGCCACAGAAGGTGGCATAAATGAAGGTTTCCTATCAAAACAGACCACTGGGGAGAGAGAGAGCTTGGAGTACAAACAGGCCTTTTTCTCCTGACCTTCAGAACCTGCGCACATTCATCCTCATTAATTTGCCCGGATGAATTGTTTGTTATGCAGCTTTACAGAAGTGAAACTTTTTGTCTGCCTGTTCCAACAATGAAGCCGACTTCCTCCGGCAGCCTGGGGTATGGAGACCCCTCAGGCTACACTGGGAACACTGAGGGAGCCCCGAAACATGGATTGTCTTGAAAGCACTCTGTGCTATGAAATCATTCTATTCAAAGCAAATTTCCTAGCTGGGTGCCGTTCTTCATAGCAACTATGGAACTTCACTGACAAAAATGCATGCATACATACACAGACACATGGAGTTACTGGCTCTTTTCTTTGTGGCAGGTCCTGGGCTTGAATTGTGAGCCTAGACATTTTCCCTGAGCTCCTTTTGCTCAAGGAAACATTTTATTGTGTCTTAAACCATGATTACCCTAGGCTGTGGTGCAACTTTTACACCCACAGATGATCCAGGGATCCTAGGACCAGAGTTCAACTCCCAGCACTGGCAAAAATACATTAAACCAACAAAAATGGAGGAGGAAAAACCAGGAAATGTTACACAACAGTTTTTACTTTTGTTTCCTTAGCACTGTGACCCTACTGAGTCTCAATGACTTGGCTTGAAAATTGTATGTGACCTTGCATGGATGATGGCTGAGGGGCTGTCAGTGAAGCCTGAGCCAAACCAGACACCTAGGCCCTGAGATCGATCCTAGGACTGCCACCTACACACAGCTGAAGATCCTAGGAAACTCATTCCTATCTATAGGAACATTAATAGAATATTTGAAATTTATTAATTGAATTACTAACTAGCTAGTCATTCCAGTATAAGATTGTATGCAATAAATATAGGTCATTGATTAATTAATACTTTGTTAATTCTTCTACCATGATAATTGGAAGCATAATTTTATACCAAATAATTGGTAGTAATAGAATATATAAAAATAAGGTACAGACAACACTCTTTATATTGGGTTATACACTAGATTCTACATAAATGTCTATCTGCCTCTCTCTGTATATATATATAGATGCATATACATATGTAAATACACACACACATGCACGCACACACACAAACAAACACACACACACACTGCAATCTAAACATCTACCTGTTTATATATTGGCCATTCCTAGGGCTTGATCTCAGGTTCTCAAATTGGCCTGCCAACTTCACTTGCATCAGACTGGTGTGCTAACATTTAACCATTCATGAAGTGGGCCTGCTAGGCCCTGAGTTCAAGTCAGAGAATTGCCAAAAACTTAATCCTGTTCGAAAAGCCAATTGTTCCACTTGTTTTCTGTATCGATGAAAGTCCTGGGTCTCAGGAATGATGTAGAATACATAGGCAAAGCTATGTCTTATGTAATAGGATGCAAAATGTTATATGTGTAATCATGCTCACTCTCAAATACATAAGAAATAAAACACAAAATAAAATGAATACACTAACTGCAATATGCAATAAACATGTGTATGTAAGTATGAATCATGTATTTCAAATATATACGAATATTATTTTTTCAAGTGCTAGGATTTGAATTCAGGCCCTGGGAACAGGCCTGACTTTCTTGTCTTCCAGCCCGGTGATCTTTCCATCCCCCACAGTGCTACAGATTTACCAACATCCTGAGTTCAAATCCCAGACCTGGCAAAAACAATGGCCTGAATTCCAGGCTAAGGAGCCTCATAATATTTTAAATATTAAAATATTTTAAATATGTATGTATGCATGTATTTTTATTTTCTCAAGCACAGGGCTTGATCTCAGGTAGTGGCAATTTTGCCTCAGCATTGGTCACTCTAGGCTGGGGTGCAACCACTGGACCCAAAGCCAAACCTGGGTTCCTGGGCCTCAAATGCTGACAGGAAAACAATAATAAATAATGCAACACAGAAAAATAAAAACTGGCAACTTACCAGATTTACATTTGTTTTCTTTGCAAAGTGACCATTCTGGGACTGAATGACACGGCTGCAAAATGTTGGTAACCTGGCATTGCTGAAGGCTGGTGGGCCACCAGGGAAGCCTTAGGCCAACACAGCAACATAGGCCATGTGTTTGAAGCACAGTCCTGACCCCTACCAATGGAGGGAGATACTAAGAGTCTCGTTCCTATTCATAGGATTACCGATGGAAGATTATGAATGGCAAAGTTGAATTAGTTGTTTCTGAATACTACTATGCAATTACATGGAGTGATTCTAGGTGACCAATGGATTTTAATGAATATTTTTGACACATTCAAAGAATAGTATTAATTACATGGATGCAATAGTTTTGGGACAGTTGTTGCTTTATTAATAATTCATTAAGGATGAAAACAAGAATACTAATTACATGGAGGCATAATAAATACCCAAGAATTGGTAGGAATGCAGTCTATATACAGGAATAATGTATAGACATCACTGGCACTCTATAAAGATCTGTATTTACTTGTGTACTACCATCTGCATGTCAATCTGTTCTTATTTTGTCAACCCCTGGGGCTCAATCTCAGGTGCTAGAAATGCTTGTTAGCTCAATATGCCCCAGGCTGGCGTGCTGACACTCACCCATTCATGAATTGGGACTTATAGGCTTTGAGTTCTAATGCCAGCACTCACAAAAATTGAATCGTGGAGTAAGAATCCCATGGTGACACATGTTTTCTGATTCTTTGAAAGTCCTGGGTGTAAGGTATGAAGTTTCATACATAGGCAAATCTATATCTTATGTAATATATGGAGTAAATATTTCATGTGTAATAACAGCTAATAAAATAAATAGTAAATAAATTAATAAAAAAATAAAACGAATAACTACACTAAGTGCAATATGTGGTCAACATATGGGGCTCGATCTCAGGGCCTGGGAACTGCCTGGCCGATGAATTGGCTAGAGGCTTCTGTGCTGACAGTCACCCATTCATGAATTGAGCCTTCTAGGCCCTGAATTTAGATCCCAGTACTGCCAAAAATGTAATCGAGGAGGAAGAAGCCGAGTGTGACACATGTTTTCTTTTCTTTTAAAGTGCTCAGTGACAGGATGTATAATTCAGATGCAAATATATATGCTAGTAATAGGATGCCATAAATGTAAAAAATGTCATTGGTGGAAGAATTGTCACTACAATAAATGAAAAACAGATTGAATTATTAGTGAATCATTCTAGGATAAAATTAGACACACTAATTATAGGACATGGATTAAGTTTAATATTTTGTTAAGCATTAATAGAAAGAAAATTGCTTGGAAACATAAATACCTAATAATTGGTAGTAACACATGATGCATAATTTAATTATATAGACATCTGTCGCATTCTATAAAATATGTAATTTATGTACAGATGTATGTACTTATAATTTTAATTAATGCTTTATTAATTGTTAACTGAGACAAATGATTAAATGGAGACATAACTTAATACCTAAAAATTGGTAGTAATATTATCTACAAATTAATAATGTACAGACATCTTTTGTGTATAGAAAATTATACACAGCAACCTCTATCTATTTATAACTCTTTCACTCCTGGGGCTTGTTGGTTAAGTGCTTGACTAGTAAGCACGAAACCCTGGGTTCGAACCCTCAGTGTCACATAAAAAGTAAATCTAGAAGTTCTGCTGTCTTTCAATCAACTGAGTGCTAGCCTTGAGCACAAACACTTAGGGACAGTGTCAAAGCCCTTACTCAAGTCCCAGGACTGCCAAAAGATAAAAAAAAAAAAAGGTAGAATATACTCACTGCAACTATAGAAGGATTGGACATCAAATACCTCATCACAGAGAAAGCTATGAGTCTGGTGCTGACAGCTGTCACCTAACCTGACTTAGCCAGATGTAAACTGCTGTAACCCAGCTCCATGGGTTACCCCCATCATTTTGGCTTACCCTGGCTTACCCCAGACATCTTGGCTGCTTGGGGGCTTTAAATCCTGGCAGGAAGTCTGCTAGAATCTTTGAAATATGGCTTGAAATGGTAGAGCACTAGCCTTGAGCAAATGTTATTAGAATAGTATCCCCGTGTTTTGAGCTCAAGCGGCATAACTAACCTCCCCCAAAATAAAAACACCCCACTAAACCAATAGATATGAAATGATCCTCGAAGAATGTGAAACCACCTTAATTCTAATTATAGCTTGTGGAACAGAGCTTTGTGCTGAGTCCTCCATAGGGTGATCTGTGCTGAGTCCTGCACATGCCATGGTGCTATATGCTGAGTCCTTCACAAGGTGGAGTGTGCTGAGTCCTGCATTGGGTGCTGGGTGCTGAGACTCTCACAGCATGCTGTGTGCTGAGTCATGCAAAGAGTGCCATGTGCAGTGTCTTTCACAGGGTACATTCTTTCAATTTGTCCTTGTAAGAGCT